ATTTTATACCTCCTAGGACTCCACATTTTGGCGGTTTATGGGAAGCAGCGGTAAAATCAGCTAAGCATCTACTAATAAGAAGCACCTCGACAGCGTCCTTAACGTATGAAGAATTGGACACGGTAATCATCGAGGTGGAAGGAATCCTAAATTCCAGACCAATCAGCCCAATGTCCGACAATCCTAACGATCTAACAGCTTTAACACTAGGCCACTTCCTCATAGGAGAACCCCTTAATGCCCAAGTTGATCCAACGTGTAGGCCACAGCAAACAAATTTATTAACAAGATGGAAACTTGTTTCTCACCTCAAACGCGAGTTTTGGAATCGGTGGTCCCGCGAATATTTATCGGACCTTCAGCTGCGAAATAAGTGGAAGACACAACACAACAACATCAACGTAGGTGACATGGTGATCATCAAAGAAGACAACACACCGGTACTGCAGTGGCCATTAGGGAGAACCATCAATGTATATGAAGGAAACGACGGTGTAGTGAGAGTGGCTGATGTAAAAACTGCTAGTGGCACTTGCAAGAGGCCTATTCATCGGCTTGCACCCTTGCCCAAGGAAACAAATGATGCCACAGAACGACAATAAACCAACAAACTGCTTGAGGAAGACAAAATTCCATCAAGGAGGAATAATCCTTCCTTACACCAAGGACTTGCTACACTTCTGATTACCCTACTCATCTTACCATTGGCTTTAGGAGCTGAACTTCAAAATAAGCGATTTGGATCAAGGCTTGGCATTCATTTTGAAGGAATAGGCTCAACAGCCATATCAACCACTGATTGGAACCTAATAATCTACTATGACATGGAAGGATTTTTGGTAGAACTAACAGCGCTGTCAAATAGCACAAGGGCCCTGCGTCATTTATGTCAAGAAATCACGCAAAAAAAGCTCATGTCTTTCTCTGCTAGCACATCTTGAACAAACTGAAAAAGAGTTGCAGCTAGATTACGCAATAGTAGAATCTAATCGGCGTAAACGAGGTGCCATTGATGCAGTTGGAAATATCGCTCATTCTTTGTTTGGAGTACTGGACGCAGAATATGCAGAACAAATGTCCAAAACAATCACACACGTTAAGGAAAATGAACTACATCTGCTGCACCTGATCAGAAATCAAACATCCATTGTGGACTCAACCATCAACATTTTGAAGCAGGATCAAAAAGCGGTCAAGAGGAAGTTCGACATCATTGATCAACAAGTGAGTCAAATATTCCAGAGGATCAGCAACGACACGCATGAGATATACCAAGAAAAATTATTTCGAATCTTTACCTCGTTATCCATCCAACTCACACTTATGGCAGCCAATTGTCAAAGAATGTAATCTGCAATATTAGCCGTTCTAATAGATACTCATCATGGAAAAATAAGTCCTCTTCTGCTGACGCCCAGCCAATTGCAAGACGAAGTAAACAAAATTAAACTTCACTTATCAGCACCATTGGAACTGCCTGTAAACCAAGAAGATTTACTCCAGCTATACCAACTCATGACGGTTAAGGGAGGACTTACAGAAAAGCATGTTGTATTCAGCATCACATTGCCTCTGGTAGAGCATGATCGATATGACTTATTCAATCTGCTACAAATTCCTACTTGGAATAATGGGACTATGATTGAAATAAGTCCGTGTGCTGTAGTTTTGGCAATAAACACAGCTCTCGGTCAATATTTCCCGCTGAGCATCTCCAAACTTCAATCTTGTGTGGATATTAAAAAGGGAAATTACATCTGTTCTAAAATTCAAAATCGTTATAGTCACGGTTCATCTAAATGCGCATGTGAAGTAAATTTATTCAACAACAACACCCAGTCAAGTTGTCAACTGCGAAAAACACCAAACGATGTTGCATGGATATCACTACAGCATAAAAATCAATGGATTTATGCCACGTCAGTTTCATCTCGTGCAACCGCAGTATGTGGAAAAGAAATCATTCAGGTGATTCTAAAAGGATCAGGACTGTTATCACTCCAACCAGACTGCATACTCAAACATAATTTTATATCAGTTCAAGCAGATCAGTTGATATCGACGAGTCTTTGCTCGTCCTACACTAGCCTGGGAGAAATTTCCGAAGTAGCTGCAGCAGAACATATAAAGCCTCTTCTTCAATCACGGGATGATGAGAAATACATAACACAAATACAAAACCTCACATCCTTACAATCATCATTGGCCAATCAACGTATATTAGAACTCCCAAACAAACTTGAATCACAAAATGCGCACCACATAACGGTTGGGTACACTGCCTTGGTTACAGTTTTGTGCCTTTTGGTGTTCATGCTAGTCAAAAGAAAATTTAAAACAGCCAAACAGGAAACATTGCACGCATCCACGACTGCGACCACATCCGGTCAAAATGAAAAACCCACACCTGCGCCTCGACATTCTCAAGGATGTTTGGACTTTACGATAAACATTTAGGACAGAACCTGCTAAGGAATTCGAGCTGCGCTCACCGGGGGGAGGATGTTATTAAATAAGAAAAGTCGACATATTAATATTGCATTGGCTTTATTCAACAGGGTATTAATTTTCGCTTGCATTCTTTTATGCGTAGCTTGCACTTTATGCCTTTTAGTGTATTCTTATAGCCAAATAATTTGGCATGTGTCAAGTTACATATAAGACATTGTTGATTAGTGTACGCAAATGACGCAAAATGTGGAATATGCTTATGTCAACAAAAACGTGGGAATAAAAAATTTGCATTAATTATGCTTATGTGAACCAAAACGTGGGAATAAAGCCTTTAAAATAATTTTGCTTACGATCTAAAGTTTTTATGCCCTTATTATTTAGCTACGTAAGCATTTAGTTTATATAAAAACGTAATCATTAATTCAATAAAGATCACTTGAAAGCAATCAAGCAAACAACAGTGTTCGAACTTGGAGTAATCGCTACTGTTACGAACAAGAGGGTTGCCACCTGTTAAAAAATTTAACGTAATTTAAATGATATATTACAATATAGATATTAAATTTAAGAGGGTTAAGAAAGATAACTGCTGGAAATATTTTTGAATAAAATAGCCACCACTTTGATAATTTAAACTCAGTTATTTTGATAAAATAAATGAAATACGGTAATTTGGGTATACAAATTTAGATTTTTAAGACGGCTTACGGCCGAAAATATGGTTGAGGAAGGTTGCCACCCGTTTGAAAATTTAACCAAATTTAATTGATATACATAGGTATCAAATTAAAAAGGTGTAAGAAAGAAGACTTTTGGAAATATTTTTGAGGAGGGTTGCCACCCGTTTGAAAATTTAACCAAATTTAATTGATATACATAGGTATCAAATTAAAAAGGTGTAAGAAAGAAGACTTTTGGAAATATTTTTGAGGAGGGTTGCCACCCGTTTGAAAATTTAACCAAATTTAATTGATATACATAGGTATCAAATTAAAAAGGTGTAAGAAAGAAGACTTTTGGAAATATTTTTGAGGAGGGTTGCCACCTATTTGAAAATTTGAACTCAGTTAAATTGACTAAACAAATGAAATATTGCAATGAGGGTATAAAACTAAAGAGTGTATAAAATATCTACAGTAGAAAATATGTTTGATAAGGGTTGCCACCTGTTTGAAAATTTAACTCAATTAAATTGGTAAAATAAATGAAAGGTTACAATATGGGTAACAAACTAAAGGCATTTGAGAAATCTTGATTTATAAATATATATCTAACGGGTGATTTTTTAAGAGCTTGATAACTTTTTTTTT